GCTGATATATATGAGTGGCAACCACAGTTGTTGAATTGGCAGAGGCTAGCATCTGGTAAATTTGACAGACCTCTCCGACCTAAAGCCCATCTTCGGTGTGCACCTGGTCAGAAGATTTCTTCAATCAAATTTGCAAGCTTTGGAACACCAGAGGGAGTTTGTGGAAGCTTTCAGCAGGGAAGTTGCCATGCCCGACACTCATATGACGCTTTTGAAAAGGTATTTAAGAATCATAGTTTGATGAGCTTGACCTTCATTTTTGGAATCAAAATTGAGTTTCTCACTTTGTATAAACATGAGAAACCTACTTGCATCTTTAATTATTGTTATTATTTTGCAGAATTGTGTTGGGCAAGAGTCTTGCTCAGTGAGTGTGACACCAGAGAATTTCGGAGGTGATCCATGTCGAAATGTATTGAAGAAACTCTCAGTGGAAGCCATTTGCAGTTGATCACCATGATGGTATTAGTGGTTTTCAGTGATTTTTCTTAAACACCGCGATAGAAATAGTTTGAACACTCAACATTTCTCGAAGAAGCTACTACACATCCAAAAATCAGCACCTACCATTTTTTGGCTTTGCTGGGGATGAAGTTGTACAGTTAAGCAACACACCTCTTTCATCAAAGCTCACCTGATTCTGTACATGTTAGTTACTGAGATTGGTGTTGGCCTGCTACTGTAAAACAAGAATTTGAGGTTTGTTCCAAATGCACATAGGGATGATCTGTAATGAGTCCATTTTGTGCAAATTTTGTTTGCGCTAGACTTGGCAAGCATTTCGCTTCCATGAACTTCCATTGTATAAACAATGTAAGAAAAGCAATTATTCATTGCTTTGCACATTAATAGTTTAACAATGTTGCAGTAACAGCAAGCTCCTTTTTCTCATTCTTATTCATCTGCATGTGTTATCTGTCAAGATACCGAGGTTTGCATTCTGTGCTTGCATTGTTTAGCACTTGTTGGTGTTGTTCTTGACAACTAATATGAAATGCTATCCTAATCACATGCAGAAGTATAGCATAAATGTTTCTCATGGTTTTCAATTTGCTAATTGAAAGGACAAGCTTGCATACATTTGTAGATGCATCATCATAAGTTTTCAAGACAGAACAAAATTTCTGGTAACATTTCTACCATATGTATTGTTAAAAAAATTACAATTAATGTTGCAACAATGTAACCAACAAAACAAATGAAATAAACTTAAATGACAAGAAACAAGTCAAGCCTGTGAACGTACACAAAACAGTCGTTGGCAGGCAGACTTCAGCCTCACTCCTATGCAACACGAAAACCTGCTACTTTCTTTCTATATATCAAAATCATCAGAATTCAGACCTCTATACAGGTATGGACTTATGGCTATCTCTTGGTCAGACAGTCGGTCAATCTTCACCGAGGAATATATTTTCTGAACAAAGCATAAGCAAGCATAGAAGCCAATTGTTCCGGTTGGCACAAAGTCATATGATGCAATCCACATGACCTTTTTTCCTAAATCTCAAAATCATCAGAACCCCAGACCATTTTCACTATCCTTGCAACAACTTATGAGCTATCTCTTGATCAGTCAATCTTCACTGAGGAGTAAATCTTCCGGACAAACCAGAAGCAAGCATAGAAACCAATAGTTCCGGTTAACACAAAGAAGGCATACGATGCAATCAACATGTAACCGAAATACAAGATGCCTGAAACCAGCTTTGTGATTTCCAACTTGGTGAAGAAATAGAAAATAGAGTAGAGAAAGAAGTATAAAGCCGAGGATCCAGCAGTCAGATAAGCTCTCCACCACCAATAATAGTCTTCACTGCACAACTGGAAGTAGCAGAGGACGATAGTTATCTCCGCACATGTGATTATCAAGATCAGAAAAACTATAAACAGGAAGCCAAAGATGTAGTAGAACTGATTCAGCCATATGGAAGTCAAAATAAAGAACAGCTCAATGAAAACAGCCCCATATGGAAGAATGCCACCGATAAGAATTGAAAAGGCTGGTTTCATGTACCATGCCTGCTCCGGTATTTGTCTAGGTATTTTGTTTGTCTTAACTGGCTCTTCACGGGCTGCTTTCTTATTGCCGAGGTAACTGCCAACAAACACCAAAGGTACTGAGATTCCAAACCATAAGCACACAAGAGCAAACATAGTCCCAAAAGGCACTGCCCCGGAAGATTTCTCTCCCCAGATGAGAGCGTTCAGCATGAAGAAGACAGCAAAAAGTATACCGGGGAACATAAAAGCAGTTCTCAAGGTAATCCTCTTCCACTCTGTTCCCCTGAATGTTTTGTAAAGACGTGCAGAAGAATAGCCAGCAAACAAACCCATGAAGACCCAGAGCAGAACCATGGCAGTCGTAAGTCCACCACGGTTAGAAGGCGACAAGAAACCCAACAGAGCAAAGATCATTGTCACTAGTGTCATTGCAAATATCTGGACACCAGTCCCAACATAAACACATAGTAATCCAGAATTAATAGGTGGGCGGAAAATATCTCCATGAACAAGTTTCCATCCTGTTTCTTCCTGAGCTTCATCTTGTGTTTCCAGTTGGTTATAGTTAGCAATATCTCTGTACAAAGTTCTCATCATGATCATCGCAACCATACCAGAAAGGAAGAGGACAATCATAAGGGAGTTTATGATGGAAAACCAGTGAACCTGATCATCATTCATGAGAAGGTATGTATCCCAACGAGAAGCCCACCTTATATTACTCTCCTGCAGAAAACAGATAGCAGCAGATAAGAAATCAACAAACAATAAAATACTGTATCACACCTGAAGTAGGACAGATAACGGTTCAGTAAGAGAATACCTTGAAGGAAACATCATAGGTGAATACAACCTCCTTATTTGTATCTACTTCTTGGGGCACAACACCACCTAGAATTAAATTTTTTGTATTTTGGTTGCACGTCGTCACTTGAGGATTCTTCTCATCCCAATCCTTGTACTCATGATTAATGCTGTCAAAAAAAACAAGTGAGAAAAGAACAGCTAGGGATAATTATACCTTCCTCTCCCCAATAATAAAGAATATGAAACAATAGAAAGGAACAGGTTAGCATTAAAACCTATTTGGAGTGACTTCAAACCCAACAATACGAGCAGTATCAGTTTCAGGGTCCTTGTGGTACATGACTCGAAAGCTTAAATGGTTGTTGATAAAATACTTCTCCTCTTTACTCTGGCAGAAGAAAGTAAATGCATTAAGGGTTAGATTACTTAGCGAGGATTAAGTCATCATTCTATAGCAATTCAGTGACTGCACTAACCCCAGCATAATTTCCCTTGAACCCAACACGGAAACCATGCTCATAAGTAGTTGATTGACTTCCATCTCGCCTTTGTCTAAGAACAGCAACAGGAAGGTTATCCAAAATCCTGCATAATTATTTGAAAAATCAATGTTTAATTTTTGTGGCGGTGCAAAAAGATGAGCAAAGATATCATGCTGCGGTGGGACTGAACTGGAACAAAACTACACTAGATTAATCTTACATATTGATTCTGTATTCATCATCAATCTTTTCCTTGAAGTTCTTTGCAGATTCAGCATCAAGTTCTTGTCGACAAACCACTTGGCATGGCTGTTCTTGTCTCATTTGGAACTGTGTATTAATTCACAAGATATAACCAATTCAGCTTGTTCACTCGTAAGTACACGAACAAACATTTTTTTAATGCCAATTTCAAGCTAGAAGGAAAAAGCATATATCCTTACAGTATAAACTGAATTCTCTATGCGGTCCCCTCGAAGAACCTCCCCCAAATTCTCCGCACTATTCAAAATTTCAGTAGGTTTGCAATACTTCAAGTAGTAATAGTCATATGGTAGTTGTGTCTTTGTAGATGACAGCTTGTTTACTTTGACATTAAGTGGATCACCCTGTAAGCACATAGATAAGAACAGCCTTGTTATAGAGACAATTATACATATCACAGATAGCAACAATCAAACAAAGCAAAATGGTATCTTTCAATTGATCTTCTTTCTGATGTTTCTACCTGAGCAACTAGTACAAAGTGTTAAATTCTTTATGAAGTACCAAGTTTTAAATGACCAGATGAAACTGGGAAAATGAAATCACTGCAATGCCCAATGTTTCTTGCACAGGATATTCAAGACATAAACCAATAGAAAAATGTATGAGAAAGGATACTTCAGAGCTTTAGAATATACAGCATTCTACATTGAGTTCACACTGAATTAGTCACTGTTTTTCAATCTTATCACGCACATTTGCTATGAATTAAATGTATTCTGCCAAAGGCAATCATTCAAGCAGACCAACGCATGAATAAAATGTATTCTGCCAAAGGCATTCATTCAAGCAGACCAACACAAAAACCACAAAGGCCCCAAAGAAAACTCCTAAAGAGGCAGAAGACGATCCAGCAATCAAAATTAGGTAGTAGGTGCACACGCATTCACTGTCTCAAACTTGGTCTACATATAGGTATTAAAAAATTTAAAGAAAAAAATTATATATATATATATATAAGAGGATATCATATTATAGGATAAGACACTAAACATGCCTATCCAGAAAATAATCAACTTCATCAGAATTAATACATATGTGACTTATTTTCCCAAGATTTGTTTAGCAATAGAGGAGATCAATTATCACGCCCATTTTATAAATCAATCAGCCAATCAACCACGCCTTCATATGAAATCATTCCACTCTATACAGGCCATTTCATTAGCAGGGGGCGGATGCAACATAGCAGTAGTAGGTTCAGGTTCATCTGAACCTAGTACTTTTAACTCGGAGCATAATCTTATGTGTAAAAAATTCACTAAAAAATAGTAGATATGAACCCCTAACTATAGAAGTACAATAGTTCAAAGCTAAGAACCTTAAAAGTCCCATAAAGCTTAAATTGTGGATCCGCCTGTGTTCATTAGTCATTATATTCACAATCATTTTACAAGCCAAACATTTTCGCTGGTTACCCCTTATTAAAAAACATGGTAATATAAGAGCTTCAGCAGTAGATGAAAATCAATAGATCCAAACCACTATGATTCACAAGTACACAAAAAAAGTTATAAATTTTTGAAATTTATAGACTCCCAAAATAGTAAATATCTAAATTATTCAAGAAATGAATATGGGTAGAAACTACTGAACACCCAAAACTAGAAAATGTCTAAATTATTCAGAAAATTGAACATGGGTAGAAATTGGGGGACACCCAGAATCAGACATTCAAGAAATAAAAGGGCAGTCCGGTACACAAAGCATCTCGCATTCACGCAGACCAAGGAGGTGTGATGTAGGCAGCCTAACCGTGCGTCAGGGGCTGATTACGCGTACCCTATAGGTCACACGGTATACAAATTGACCGTTGCTTAAAGGATCCCCTTCTGAATTATTCAAGAAATGATTATGGATAAAAATTACTGGCCACCTAGAAACGATTATGAATGATTATGGATAGATATTAGCGGACACACAAAATCGAAAGATATCAAATTTATTCAAAAATTGATTATGGGAATTATTATCTGGTCCCAATACTATTCTTTTTAGCATGCATACCACATAAATAGAAAAAAGAAAAGCGAAAATGGTTACCGATTGAAAATCACGAGGAGCAACCCCGGGAAGATAGAACGAATGAGTAGACGATATGAGGAAGAAGAAGATGGTGGTTGTAAGCTGGCATGATCTTCGTCGATCCATCTGAAATTCCATGCTTCACTTTTATTAGTCAGGTCGAAGCTTTTATACAAATTCCCAAGGTTCCACCTTTTTGATAAGTACACTTCTTTAATGTCATATTTTGTTTCCTTTATATTTTGGTTAATTGAACCTTTTTTCCCACAGTAAATTAAACGTATATAAGGAACTGTGGTGTATAAGGATTATCAGGGATATGGTGGGAGGGCCCCGGCGGAGGACACAGGAATAGAGGCTGAGATAGTTCGGACATTTAATTATTTCGATATGTAAAAAAGCGAGACATAACTATCTTGATTAGAAAGCGTGAGAGGTTGAGTGAGAGGTTGACCATAGCTAGTATGAAGAAGGGCAGGCGTAGGCTAAAGAAGTACTGAAGTGAGGTGATTAGGCAGGACATGTCATTGGTTCAGCCTACCGAGAATATGATCCTCGATAGGAAGGTTTGGAGGTTGAGTATTAGAGTTGAAGGTTGACAGATAGTCTCGAGTCTCTTCTAGGCTTACAAGTAGTACCGGTACTATTGCTGTATTTTCTTATTCTTAGTTCGTTATTAGTAGATATTGTGCAGTCGTTTTCGTTGCCTTGTTATTTTTTGTTGTAATTATTTGTTGCTTTATTTTCATAATTTCTTGAACCGAAGATCTAGCAAAAATAACCTCTCCATATTCATAAGATAGGGGTAAGGTCTGCGTACACATTAACTTTTCTAAATCTCACATATGAGATTACACTAGATTTGTTATTGTTGATTGTTGGTGATGTATAAGGTTATAAATTGCAATCCAATTCCAACATTGGCTCCTTGATTTTTAATAAAACTCTTATGATTTAAAATACATTATCTTTATATCCTAGCGTGATGTGTGTCAGAAAACTACATATTTAAGTGAAAAGGATTGAGAAGCAGATCCATTATTTATTGAATTAAATTTTGAATGATGCAATTACTAACCTTTTGAAAATTTTCGGTTATAAAAAGATCACTCTTTTTCTGGATAATATAGTGTTAAAATCAGCTTGAACACACCTCAATTATTTTATTAAATAATAGTTACTTTCTATCGGCACATGCATTAGATAACTTCACCCACAAAAAATTAGGCAAATATGAAAATGATATTTATAAAAGGAATCGCTATAACATTGAAAAGATGTGTATTTATGGTCATTTGTTTGATGTTAAAAGAAATATAATTGTTTTTTCACCAACGGAAGGGCCACTCATCTTGATTATTAGTNATATATATTCATATTTAATAAGTTTCTAGCACATTTATAATGTTTAAAGCAAAAATGAGTGGGGGTTCGGCTAAACCCATACCTAATAGGCTAGCTCCGCCTGTATCATGTGATCATATGTCATAATCTAGCTATCATAATTAAACTGTGATAACGAATTCTTGAATTCACATATATAATTAAGGGAAATTATCAGTTATGTCCATTTATAAGTAGTTCATTACAAAAATTGGCCAATTGATAAAATATTATTAATATTAGCCAAATTAGCCAATTAGCTATTTGTATAAAAAATATTAAATTTTTGCTTTGTTTTGAGTGGGTGCTATTAGAATAGATTGGGCACAACTTAAGGAGCTTGAATCTCAGTTTTGGATGATTTGGTGAAGTTTTAAGGTGGTTTGAATTGAAAATTTGAAGTAAAAACTGAACATCAAAAAAATTATGTGTATCACACTGTGTATCATTTATGTATCACATATGTATCATATTTGTATCAATCATGTATCGCATGTCTATCCATGCATACCTGTGTGTGAGATACATGCGTGATACATGTTTGATACATGTGTCGCAGAAGACTTTTTTGAACTCGATTTAATTACGAATTTTGATACAAAACCAATCCAGATCACCTCCAATCTTCCTCAAATTTTGTATATTGACTTATCTATATATTTTCAATGAATTTCAACTATACCCATTGAAAAAGTTCCTTTTTTGTTTAGATTTTTGGAATATTGTATATATTTTTGTATTTCATCACCTTATTTGCTACCTCATCCGTGAAATTTTCTTTCCGTCTTGTATCTAGTGTTGCTAATCACGCTTAAAAATATAGAAGGTGATTTCTGCATGTGATTCTTTGAGAGAAAGAACCCTATTATTTGGTTTTTCAATTTTTGTTGGCTAGTTTTAGTAAGTCTATGACTATTGACCAGAGGTTGGTAAGTTGAGCTTTATTTGGGATATTTGTGTAAGTTTCCCTATAATTAATAATCAAAGTTATTGTATTTGAATTGGTGAAAGTTACTCCGTAAGTATCCGGTTAATAATCAAATTTACAATAATTTAACATAATTAGGCACGTTGACAAAAATTCTCCGTACATGAAGTACATTTCTTTAGGCAAAATACATGACTGGACCCTTAAACATGATCTTTTTTTATCACTTGGACAATCATAGAGTTGTTCCTATTAGGCACTTCAATTAAACCACATTTGTGCCAATTAGACACTTTGTAAACCATATGAGAAAAATTATTATAAAAATTAAACGCATGTATTACAGTTGCCTCTAACACCTTAAAATATTCCATCTTATAGAATTAACCCCCAAAACAAATTGAAACTCATTTTCAGAAAATGAAAAACCTGACCATCGGCTCTGGTGACTTAGTACCCTAAAAAGCTCACTGAAAATTTCCTCCGTTCAACTTCATCTCACTTCTTCTTGTTTCGATTTCACTGAAATATCACGTTATTCTCTCTATTTCTCGTCTAAATTGGTGTAGCTTACAAGTGTCGTGTAAAGAGAACAAACATGGTAAATGAGAATAGTCAAATAGATGTACACTAAACTTTCTTTTAAAAAACAAAATTAAGAAGAAAAATGATAGGTTCACGAGAGGAAGAAGAGAAATAGAATGTACGGTAAAAGTTAGCTTTAATTGGAATAACATATTAGAATATAATAATAATAATATCGTATTCTGCCTTTCTTTAACTAATTTTGAACATTTGGCGTGTCCCTTTGTAGGAACATCCGATGGAAAAGGGGAAGATTTTCATAAAACGACATGGGATCCGATCCATGCACGTCCTATTCATAAGATTATCTGTTTTTCCCCCCAGTTTTTCACCTGTTTGGTTACATGGAAATTGTGAATGCTAAAATTTAAAATAACTGGTTTAATGTAAATATTGCATAAATATAGAAATCGCACAGCAACACTGGCTTCGATCATATAATTGTACATTCCAATCCACAAGCATTGATCAAGCTTTGAGTTTTCACTAATGGGTATGCCTTCAACTTTTTTATTTTATTCTTTATGTTCTGATCCATTTCTATTGCGGTTTATTCTTGCAAATATTCACAATTTGTTTTCTGAAACCCTCCATTTTAATTCTCTGCTTTTAATATCAATGCCATTAATTCGATCTTGTCATTGCTCTGTATATGCAATCCAATGCTAGTTAATTGTTCTTGTGCTATTATCATTTTCTTCCCACGGGTTAGCTCTTTTTTTTTTTCGGGCTATGTGTTGTAACTATAAAGATTAAATATTTATTTATTGCTTGGTATTTTGGTCGATTAATTTATGTCAAATTGTCGATTTTCTTTTGTGAAACTTGCCTAAGACAGGGGCCGCAATTCTGAAATACCTTAATTTTGATGATTTAGTTAATGTAAATGCATTCTTTGTTGTGCACTTGTGCATGTTTTTCTCATCCGGCTGTTTGAATGCTTTGGATAAACTACTTTAAGGAGTGTTTAGTTCTTGGTGCTTTTTTTATTTTTTATTATTATGTTCCGGACAAGGAAAGATGATCACCTTATGCTTTGAGGGTAGTTTGGTTCGCAAACTAGTTACGTAGGGTTGATAAATGTGGATTGCTATGCCTTAAATTGTTAATTATAATACAAATATTGTTATGCAGGGCTGCGACACCAAAAGAATTAGTTTTATTAATTAGTAAACATGTACTTGCTTTACTTTAACTAATTTAAATAAAAATTGTTAAGAACTTTTTCTATATAGAATGTTGTCATGTTGTTATTTTTTTTTAAAAGATTTTATTTTTTTATACTAAAACAAATGTCGTTCTTTTAAGGATTTTTTTTTTGATAAGATACTTTTAAGGTTATTTTTTTTGTTATTTTAGCTGCTCTTCTTTAGGTATTACGAACAAATTTATTCTTATTCTTTCACATTCTATCTCACAACATAGATTTTCCCAGAATTTATGTGAGTAGTACTTACGCTACAAACAAAAATGGTAACCAAACGTTGCCTTAGATATGTAGATTTCTATGTTGGGAACTAAATGTTGTAGTGACAATGTAGAGTTCTATGCCGGACATAATTTTTATGTGGTAAACCAATAAAGGGCCCTTTAGTTGCTGGTTATAGTTATGCAGGTATTAGTGAGTCTTGCGTGTTCTTACTTAGGTTGCTTTACTTCTTCTCTCCTGGTAAGAATGTGGTGGAGCTCAGAGAGGGGTCAGTGTGTGCATTGTTTGAACTGATAAAGAACAGCATAATAGTTTTTCCTATTTATGGATAGATGTACCTTCATTAAGAGCTTGACTCTATGGCCTTCAGCTTTTGGATGAAATGTGGTCTCTTTTCTATCTTGCTATGAAGAATTATGATGCCCTGAGGATTTGATTTGTTTCCAAACAAAGGATGCTGGTTCAATCCAAGGCATCTTTAGATGTTGGGCTCTTGCTGACGTTATAACGGATCAATGCTTTCAGATAAAAGTGATGGATGTTGTTCCACACACCTCATTGATGGGGATGGCGTTTTCAATGTTGCTGGAGTTGAAAATTTCATAAAGGAAGTTAAACTGGCAGATTGTGGTCTTTCATATGCTATAGTATCCATTATGGGCCCACAAAGCAGCGGTAATAATTCTTTCTAGATAAATTCAATTTGCTATCATCCATTTTCCAGTTTGTAATCTATTAACGGAAATTTATCTTGTTGTTCTGTATGCTTAAATGAGGATTCGCTTACTGCTTCACTTGAGCTCTATATATCATCTTAGTTAACTCTTACTAGATGCTATATTCTGCTTGCCATTTCCTGACAAACTTCAACTGAGATTATGCCAGGGAAAAGTACTCTGTTAAATCATCTATTTGG